TCACGCATTCCTTATTTTGGCAAAGGGAACCACCCCCAGTTCCGGGGTGTGTCTGCTGCACCAGCACCTCTCGCGCTGCTTTTGATGGTTAAGGTGTAGAGTAAGCACTGTGTGTCCCTCCCTCCATCCCTCCCTTCCTCCCTCCCTCCCTCCCTCCCGCCTTCCCTCCTTCCTTCCCTTCCTTCCATCCTTTGAAATTACACTCCATGCGGTATTTCGTGAGATAATTCTTTTTTAAACATCGACTGCAAGGTCTGACAGCCTTCCCGGCACCCCGCTTTCTTACTCTTACCTAAGACATTTCAGTTTTAAGTGGTTCGCTCCTCATCGTTTGGAGAAAAAAAAGTGACGCAGTTCCTGGGTCCCAGAGCTATTCATTGTCACGGCGATGACCCCGAATGGTGGATCCTCTTTCTCAGAGGTGACGAGACGCACGTGTCGGCGACCCTGTGGGAAGGCCGCTCAGGTCTGACGATTCTTACCAGATTCTTCGGGACCCGCCTTGACCTCCATGCTCTGGTGCCCTGTTCACCTGTCTTCTCTCCACCTTTCAGATTTCTCGGGCTGGTGAGGGACCGTCCCCATGTGACCCAGCGTAGCTCCCTTAGGGCCTGGGGGGGTAGGCGCGCATTCTGTCTGAACTTCGTGGCCGCATCCCTTAGAGCCTTTGCAGATTTTCCTAGCAACATCCTGGTTCCTTAAATCTTTTTCAGCGCTTTCTCTAGACCTGCGCTCGGAGCATCGAGACAGCCCACAGTCCCGAGCCTGGGCGGCCCTCACCGTCTAGTGCAGGCGGCGGCAGACGTTCCCTGAGGCCAGACAGTAGTATTTTAGGCTCTGTGGACCACCTGGTCTCTGCTGCAGCTAGTCACCTCTGCCGTGATAATTTGCAAAGAACCACGGGCAATAAGTAAATGATTGAACTTGGCTGTATTCCAGAAACAGGCGGTGGGCCAGCTTCGGGCCGCAGGCTGCAGTGTGCCCGCCGCGGCCTGGTGGCATGGTGCCAAAGAGTTCCCGGAGCCACAGGTCACGAGGGTACCTTCCTCGAGTGAGAGTTTCACTCAGTTATCATGTGGAAAAAGTTAGGTCGTGTACTCAGTAAATATCAAAACATTCTTTTAATACGTAAGTGGCTGTTTATGGAATGGACTGTAAGATTAAACTGACCACTTAAGGTAAAACAGCCCTCGAGAGACGTCTTGTTCATAGTGAGCTGCTTAGATCTGTGAGACCCGCAAACTCCTCTGCCGTTTGCCGGAAACATTTGAAGAGCACTGCCCGGCGGTGGAGCCGCCGAGGGCTGACTTTGGAGAGCGTTTGGAGCAGGGCGGGGAGACGGGTCACGGGCTGGCGCGGCAATCCCGGCACGTGACAAGGACCCTTGAACGTAGAGGCGATGGAGACGGTGAGGAGCTTGGCTTGGCTGACGGTGCGAGGGGAACGGAGGACGAGTCAAGGACGGCCCCAGTTTTGCGGGGGTGACTGGTTCAAACGGTGTCGTTTAGTAAAGAGTAAACGCAGACGAGCAGCCGACACTGTCGCCGGGCGGAGGCTGCGGAGAGCCGCCTGGACCACGCGCCGGTCCGCCCGGCGCTGAGGCCACAGGACCGGGCGCCGTCCTGTCTTATCTACAGCGCGTGTAGACGTGATACCGAAGGACGGTCTGTAAAATTCTGCTCACAGCGGCGTTACGGGCGCCAACGCTGGTCAGACGGGCAGGGTAGGTGGTTGGCTACAGCATTCCGTAAACGCTGTGACGTCAGGCTAGGCCTCCGGCAGAAGACTGGAACAGAGAAGCAGGTAGTGCGGAGGACGGGCCAGGCAGAGAGCGGAGGCGCTTGCCCTGTGGGCGGACGGGACAGGTTTGGGGCAGATGCTGGCGGCGAAAGGCACCAGGTGTGAGGGTTTCGAGAACTTGACTTCTTGTTACGGACGCTCATGTCCCATTCAGCCTTTTCCTAAACCACTCGCTGGATAGGCTCGGACATCCTTAAAAACAAGCTGCGCTCGGGGCCAAAGTAAAGCCACGTGGTCCTGAATGACAACCCGTCTGTGGGCATCACTTAGTAACTGCCCCTCTCCGTGTCTCATTGTTCTCCCCATCTTCACCCCCACGATCAGTCGGTTTGGTCAACAGATACTTGAGTCCCTGTGCTTGGCACAGATCAGGAGGATCTGGTTCATGCCCTGTGGGAAAATCTGGGGAAACCCAGAAAATAAATATACAGGGGTGTGTAGGTACGGGGGTTTACAAATATTTAATCAGTTTTTCTAGGAACCGTGTGACAAGCAGAGAACATCGAGCTCATTCAGGGTGACAGAAGCAGGACAGGGGTGATAGAGGTGACACTGTGCAGAGCAGGCCCAGCACCGTTTCCTAAGACTAGAGCTGGTCCCTCCGTGGGGTCCTCCCGGGCGGGGCGTGGACGGCAGCTCGTACAGCCGAGCACTTCGAGCCGAGCCAGAGGGCTGTGTCTGTGGAGCGGAGACAGTCGCCTTCCTGCGTAGCTTGTGGCCTTGTCGCAGGCCGGCAGCGAGATGCTCCGTGCAGGACCCGTGAGCTGGGGCCTGTGCCCTGACGGGGCTGCGCCTGGAACCCCTCGGTCACCGCACGGCGGCCCTCGCAGGTGTTTGGTTACCTGCCTGCGGAGGGCGTCACACTGTTCTCACGCAGCTCATCAGCGGTACTGATTTCTTGAGGGGCTCTGATTTATACGTTTTACGCCGGTCTTATCAGCTGAGGAGTCGGACCGAGTCCGTGTCTGTTAAGTCTTAAATCAAAATGAGCACTTTCGTGCGTGACAGGCGGCTCTGCCACGCCAAGGCTCCGGCTGAGCTTAAGCTTTGAAGGTCCGCTCTTCAGCCCATTCATTTTGAGTTTTTTTTTTTAATTAACCGTTTGTAATGGTCGCTTTGGTTCTGTGTCAAGAAAATTGAAATCAAAACGCAAACGTGTCTTCCTTTGCAGAGTGACCCCAGGGAGGAAAGAGCCAGCTGTTGACCAGCGGCAGTAAGTAGACGGTGCCACTCGCACCCACGCTGGAGCGGACGAGAGCGCGCAGCGGCCGCCGCTTCCTCGCTCACGAACTCCAGTGGCTCCGTGTTACCCAGAAGGGAAGGTCTAAGTTAGTCGTCCGGGAGCACGAGCCTCCAGGACCATCGTCACCCCCCTCGCCCCCACTCCGTGCACTCGGGGTCCCGCTGCCCCGCACACGCCCGCACGCGTGGTCCTGCCGTTTCCTGCCTCCCGCTGTGACGCCGGCTCCTCCCGGGACACTCTCCCTCTTTGCCTGGCTGATCCGTGTCCTTCCTTCAGACCCGTTTCTCAGGAAGCTGTCCCGGACCCCACCTTCTCCCACCGTCCCCCCCCAGCTCGCTCTGTGCAGCCACCCTGACCCTCCTTTGCCTCCGCCCTGCCGGGCGCGCTGTGCCTGGGACGCTCACGCCCTCGCCTCGTTCAGTGTGCTCAGAGGTCGCCTCCCCAGAGAGGTCTCCCGGACCGCCCCCCCATGAGTAGTTGTACCCCAGCATCGCATTCCCATTCCCGGGGTCCCCCCACAGTGATTATCTAACGTGCTGTGTGTGATTCTGGACGCTGACTTAATTATTCTGTTTGTCTTTTCTCCTCCTGGCATACGTGTCCCCTGAAGGTGGTCACTGTTCTGTCGTCATTGTGTCCCCAAGGTCCGGCGCAGCGCCTGACGCATAGTAGGTCTCAGAAAATTGTCGTCGAATGAGCGCATAGTGGATATCGTGGGGCGGCTCTCGCTCATGTCGCCGCCGCCCCGTCCCGTTCACAGTCTCCCTTTCGCTTTAGCCCTCCTGTCCTCCCCCGCCCCCCGCCTCCTGCAGGCTGCGCCCCGCGTACGTCCGCAGCCCCCACCCCCGGCATTCAGTCGTCCCCGGCAAGGGGCTGCGTGACGTTTGTGGCGTTGAAATATTATCTCGCTACTGTTACTGAAACTTGGCCTTTGCTAATCGGAACCCCATAGAGCGCGGTTGAGGCTTCCGAGCCCCCAGTCTCACGCACCCCCCTTCATCAGGATCCGAGCAGAGGCGTGGGGGTCGCGGTCTCTCGGAAGCAGGGCGCGGCCACAGGGCTGACAGGGTCTGCGGGTGTGTGCCCGCGCGTGCGCTGCGTGACACCTCTGGCCAGAGCAGGCGTCTCGAATGCCACTCTTCTGACTGATGATACCCGTTAGGCTGATTACCAGACTCTCCAGATTTGAGGGGAGTCAGGGGTGCCGGGCTGACCCTCCCAGAGTGGGGACTTGGATGCGAAGCCTTCAGCGTTACCCAGGGGCTCGTGCAGCCCCAGCAGGTGCTGCCCGCCCCCGCCCAGGGTGAGCTCAGGAGCCTCTTTCCCGTGCCCTCGGGTCTCTGAGACGGACGAAGCTTTCGCCTTGCACTCTGCGAGGCGGTGGGCGTGACAGTTTAAATCACACCTCCCTTCCAGACTCGAGGCGAAACGGGTGTCGTTTCGTGTCCGGTGCGTGCCTGCTCAGTGGCCCCCGGGAGGTTTGTGACCTTAAGCCGCCGGGTGTTTGACCTGTTGTCTCGTGATGCTGAGTCGCCAGCTCTGCGGGTGCCATGGCTGTGCGCGCCTGGACTGGCCAGTGGCTTCCCCTCGACGGGCCGGGATGAGACCACGGAACGCCCTGGGTCCGGGGAGGCGGCTCTGTCTTCTTCTCCCAGTTGGAGTCCAGGTTTGTGGGTGAGCGGTGTGGACACAGCCCTGCTTAGAAGCCCGAGGGGGCCTGTGTGGGCTGGCGGGCCTGGGGCCGGTGACAGGTGACAGATCACGTCCCCCGGACGGACGGACCCCTGACTGGGGAGGTCTGACCTCATCAGTTCTGCCCCGAAGGGGAGTGAGAGCAGGAGGCACGGTGACTCCACTCTGGCCTACCTGGCCTGCTGGGGACACCGACCTGACCTGACACTAAGCATGTTAGGCGTGCGCCGAGGTGCCGTCCTGGCCAGACTTGGTGCCCGGTGAGGAAAGCGGTGTGTCCGGTGTCAGATTAGAACAGTCATCCGTCCTGGCTATTTGGGGAGTGACTTGGAGCAATGCTATTTATCATCTTTCCTTTTTTTCTTAGGTTTTCTACATTCCTATGACTCTGGTCACGTGACTCTTTTGGACTTTTTAAAACTTGAATTTATATCAACAATTCATAGAGTTATATACTCTGCTTTCCTACACAGATGATAACTTATTGACGTATTCTCCAGGAGCATAGTAAAAACGTTGGCATTGTCGTGTCACGTCCCAGGTCATTAGCTGAAGAGCTCTTACAGCTCAGCAGGGGATGAGCCACCCTCGGGGCCGCGAGTAAAGGGTGTGAACGGGGCAGTTAACCAGAGAAGATTAAATGCCTATAAAAGTGTGCAAAACGAGATACAATTAAAATGTTAATAATATACATTTTTATCTATCAAATTGACCAGTTTCTGAAAGAATGAAGGTTAACAGCCAGGGTTGGCAGATGGATGGGAAGGCGTGTGTCTGCTGTGGTGTTGGTTGGCGGAAGCGGAAGCTAATATAATCATTCTGGAGAACGTGTGGCAATGAAAACAGTTTTAAGCCGAATAATTTCACTTGTAGGAATTTAATTTTAAGAAGGTGTCAAGGATGTTTATAACGGTAGAGCTTTAGAACTGTTGATCACAATATTATAACAGCAAAAGCTTTTTAAAATCTTCAAAAGAAAAACCCAAATCCCTTTTTAAGTTCTGTTCATAATGCGTTTATCATTTACACTTAGCCAAAAGCATTTAGTAAAAAAATGAGTCAAAAATTATTTCTAAGGCTCCCGCCTTGGACTCTCGTTTAACTGCGTCCCCGTGATCAGGAGAGCGACAGAGCTTAATGAGCTCTCGCTCCGAATGCGTAGATTCTGTAAGAATCTGTCTGTCTTTCTCTCTACTGCCCTCCGGGGCAGTGTCGGGCAGCCACCGGCCCGGCCGCCCCACGAGGACGCCTCCCGTCTGCATCTCCAGCCAGGACCTGCCTCAGGGCTCCAGGTTCCCGCTGCCTCTGCAGCCCGGGCCCGGATGGCCGTCCAGCGTGGCTGACTCAGTGTGTCCCAGGGCGCACGCTCAGCCCTCCCGGCCGTGTGCCCGACCTCTGACAGCGGTCTGTTCCTGCCCCTGACACAAAGCCTCCGAGCCGCGTCCACTTCAGCCCGTCCCTTGCTCTCTGTCCTTCCGCTCTCCTGGTCAGCACCTGCCCCCCCCCGCGTCACCTGGCCGGGTCCCTTTGTCACCCTTCCCAGAGCGCCCCCTCCTCGTTCCGACTGTCCCATCTTGTCTTTGTCTGTTGCAGTTGGTTCTGACTGGTCTCAGTGTCCGTTTCTTCCTGCCCCCTTCCCCAAAACCATTGCTTTCCACCCGCCGCCTTCCTGACCGTGGTGCTCCCTACCCAGCAGTGGTGGCTCCCTCCGCCCGCAGAGTGACGGCCGTGCGTGCCGCGGTGGCCCCAGGTCCCTCGGCATGTGGCCCTCTTCGCAGTCCCTCCCCCTTCTCAGGAACTTTGCTCCAGCAAATCCGAACGGTCCTTGTCACCAATTATGATCTCGATTTTGCATTTAAAACTTCCCGTATGTGATTGACTGTCTGCAATGTCCCATTTTCCAAGTTTTACCTGTCTCTAAGAGTAGCTGCGGTCTTCCTTCCTCCATGAAGTCTGCCACGATCGGTCGTGTCGTATGCTCACGGTGCCTCCTTTCCGGCCTCGCCGTTCTCCCTGACGTTAGCCGTGTGCGTTCTGCCTGACCCGTGTCTGCGGAGAGGCCCTTGCTGCCCTGAGTGGCAGGGGCTTGACTGGGAGACACCGCCCGCCCTTGCTTCTACGGCCATGACTTTTTTCCAGGGCCAGGTTCAGTTTTCGCTGTGATACAGATTTGAAAAATTTACCTCTCGAAACATAAAGTCTGAGTTTATTTATGGGGAGATGTTACTTACGACGTTAAAGTTTAGTAGCAAAAAGTCAAGAGATTTAAATTTTTAAATGCGCGTCGTTACCCCCATTCAATGTGCTAATTAATGCGGTGAACAAAATTTATAACTTGTGACGGACAAAGGGGAGGAGTGTTCAGGGGCTGGGAGAATGGGGTGACAAAGTAGTAGCCGATGATGGTCACAGGGATGGGGAGCACAGCTTAGGGAGCACAGCAGTGATACATTGTCTAGGTGGAGGGTCGGGGGAGGGCAGGAGCAACTGGGGGATTCATTTGATGAACTATAGAAATGTCTAACTGCTGTATACTTTGAAACTAATTGAAATAAATTAATTTAAAAAAAAACTCCTAGGTGAAAAGATGCCAAGTCTTCCCAAAGCGATCTACAGATTCAGTGCAATTACAACCAAACGTCTTAATGGAGCTTTTGATAGAATTCGATAAGCTGATTCCAGTGTTTCTCAAAATTCGAATAGGATGAAAGGAATAATCCTAGCAGGCATAAACATCCACCTTAAACCTAGGGTAATTAAAACATGGCACTGACACAGAAGAGACCAACAAATCAGTGCAACAGAATAGAATCCAGGGGGAGAAACGACCATGAGGCCAAAATGTAACGTACGATAAATACAGCGTTTACAGTCGGAGGAAGAGGGCGGAGTGATCAGTCGATGAGAGAGAAGGGACAGAGGACACCGCACAGGCCCCGGGAATGAGGACATGCGTGGAGCATCTCCTGGGGCAAGAAATCCCATGAATGGGGAGGAGGCGGGGCTGTGGGGGCGGGGCAAGGGCGGAGCAAGCCCCGCCCCTCCTGCTCCTGTGGAGTCTGGGCCTTTTCCTCAGGTGCTGTGCCCAGGTGCATTAAAGCAGCCTCACGTGTCCTCTGTGCTCTTTTATGGTTCCTTTAGTACATTTAGACCTTTAATCTATTTGGAATTTATACCCATTTAATATGTGAAGTAAGGGCACAGCTTTCATTTTTCCTAAGTAGTCAGTTATCCCAACCCCATTAATTGAATCTTATTCCACTGATTTTAAATGCTGCTTTAAACGTTTTTATATAATGACTTTTCTGGGAAAGAACATGTATAACTTTCGTCACGTTTTTAGCCGTGTCTTTTAGGGAATGAGATTTGCATAAACAAAGGTAAAACCGAAATGTGCAGTTTTAAAGATGAGATGATCCTCATGGGAAATGCCAACTTCTCTTAGTCCAGTTCTTTCGATGACCTATTTTCCCGCTTTTGGAGCTCGGTTTTTGTAAACCCCAGAGGGAGGGCCGGTGGCGGGCGCGTGTGCTTTGGGCGTGGATTGGAAGCGGCTCGAGGTGCCACTGGCGCTGGAGAGGACCTCGGCGGGCGTGTGTCGCGTGTCCGGGGGCGTGTTAGCAGGGGGTCGCGTAGGAGCCGTGTGGCCATTTCTTCTGGCCTCTTGTTCAGACTAAACACAGGCCCGACGGAGCCAGGCGCGAGCGGGCGTCAGGGGGTCCGGGCGGCCGCGGTCCCGGCCCGCTCTGCACTCGGCATCTCTGCGACCTCGGACGAGTGTTGTCTTCTGCTCGTAGTGCAGCTTTCCCGGGTCTGAAACGGAGAGTGACCGCGCCGTGAAACCCGAACGGGGCCGGCGCCCGCGGGAGCCCAGCCGGGGGGGCCCAGGTCTCTTGCCTTTGAATCAGTGTTTTAAAATAATTCAGTTCAAAAAGGAAAAAAAATTTCAAAAGTTTCCTGGTTGCACTTCACATTGAATGCAAACCCTCCACGCCAGAAATAAATGTCTTCAGGCTCCAAAGAAGTATCGCGAACTTCTTCCTTCCTTTTATTCTCAGAGTAGAAAATGGTGCGTCTTATTTTAAGAACATCCTCCATCATGTATATTTTCATATCAAGAAGGAAAAAATAGCATTTAATTGTTTTGCTTCTGTTTAAATAGGCTTTTCCCAGCGGGGAGTTGAGTCTCTGAGGTCGTGTGGGGAGGGGGCAGACTGGAGCGAGCCTCGGGGCCGGGCACTGGGCGGCGTGGTCTCCTGTCCAGACTGACCTGCTGCCCTCCATGCCGGCCACACCTCCCGGCGTGTGTCCCCTCCGCCCTCAGGCCTCTGGGGGGGCGGTTTAGTCTCCCTCGATGGACGTCGGCACACTACCTCGCCGTGACGTAGCGCGTCTCACGTGGGGGGCTTGTCCCTCGTGGGGGGCCGCAGGCCATTCGCGTCCGAGATGAGGGGACTGTGCTGGTCGCCTTCTGTCACGGCCACTTACGGTCGCAGCCGGGGCTTCCGACTGTCCTCGCGCGGTGCGTGGGCACGACCGGCCAGAGCCTCCGCTGCCGGGACGCGGGTCGCGTTTGTGGGCCCCGCGGCACACATTGCCATCAGTGGGTCAGCGTTTCAGCCTGGGAACCAGGGCGGGAGGACGGCGACCCATCGGCCGCAGCAGCGAGCTTTGTCCTGTCCCTACCTCTAGATCCTGGACGAGGGAGCTGCCCGTGCCGTCCCCGCCCATGGATGGCAGGGGCTCCCCGTTGGCCCTTTTCACGGCCTGCTGCCCCGCCGCGCCCCCCGTCAGCCTCCTCCTCTCGCCGTCCTAGAGGCTGGCGCAGCCGGCTCGCCAGGGATCCCGAAACCAGACTTCCGGGGATCGCACCTGGTTCCACCGTCACGTGACACCCACGGCATTAATTCCCTTTCTGGGCTTCAGTTTCCTTAACAGTTAAGGGAGGGTGAGGGTGACGGTCCTGTTTACCTCGGGCGCTGGCGTCAGATGAGCTGTCACACGTAGACTACTTAGAATGTGCCTGGCTCATAGCGAGTATCCAATAAATGCTAAGTAGTACGTGACGTCGAGGTGACAGCAATTGTCTTTTTCATTCATACAGAATGAAAACTGACCTTGAGACCTCAGCGAGATGTCCTCTGGGCATCTTGTCATTTTTAGAACACTATCCAGGGCTCGCCCCGTCCCAGGGGCTGTCCCACCGGACCAGCCTGCCTTCCTGTCCGCCTGTCGCTCACCCCGCAGACGTTTCGATGACCTGCCACTCCCTCTGTCGAAGTCTCTGCTCAGATGTCAGTTCTTCAGAGGACTCTTTCCAGACTCCCGCTCTAGAATATCGTCCTGTCATTTACTTTATCCTTTGACTTAGTCCTTTTCCCATCCCATGAAAAGATACCTGACCGCTCCCTAACATTGTGTGACACACCCGTTTGTTCACCCCACTGCACTCGGTTCCGTGACAGACGAAAGCAAGGGGCTGTGTTCTGCTCCTCATTTTCAGTCGGGCGTTTCATGTGCTCAGGAGGTGTTTGTCAAATGGATGACTGGGGTGGGGCGGGCTGGGGTGCGGGAGGTCGCTTTAGGGAAGAGTTCAGGCGATTTCATTTTTGTTTTTCATTCTTTTCCATGGATCAATGTACCGTGTGATTCACCGTAATTATCTCAGTCACTAACGGATTAATCGCACTGTTAAATTAGTGCCTTCTCGCGGTTTCCATTGAGGGTGTGCTGCCTGTGCCTTCCCCTAGCAGCCGATGACAAAGAAGTCTCTGGGTTTATCTTTGATCGGGCGTCAGAACCACCAGAGCCCTGCCTGTCTCCCGGCTCTTGCCAATGTCAGGCCCCAACAGTGGGGCATGCGTCGTCGGGAGCCGGGAGCCGGGAGGCCGGCACAGCGGTCCAGGGGCTCTGCTCCGACTGAGCACCACGGGTCCAGGCTGCCCACGGGACTGCGACTCTTCCTAATCGTGCAGGTTTAAAATGCCTTCTGGTCTCTTCGAGATGGAACACAGAGCGACTTATTCACCAGTTGGTTGAATATGGGTTTTTAAAGTTAGCAATTATCATTTATCTTAAGTAATTATGTAATTTAACTACCGTTTGATAACTTTATACTAATTCTTTGACATGGATACTTATTGGGAACCCTGCGCATCCTTCTTCTCATTTTCTTCATAATTCTTGAGATTTTTTAAAAATCACCCTTCCTTATTTGAGTCGGTTGTTACATACTGTGTCCTAGAACACGTAATTACCTGCTTGTTACTTGGGGGGGCTCTCCCACCTCAGCAGCCTTCTGAGCTGCAGCTCGTCACGATCCGGGTGAAGAAGTGACTTTCTTTCTGGTGTGAAGGGGGGTTAGTCCCGTGCTGATTTGTCATTTACTGTTTTTTAAATCACAAACATTAAACGAGTTAATGTTGGGAGCTGACCGTCTAAAGTCTGCCCGTCTGAACCGGCACGGTCCAGAGCCGGTGTCGGATGCGTGTTTGACTGGGAGCCGGGTGACGGCAGCGTCGGTGCCTGGTGAGCTCGGGGGCGGATAAGGGTCGAGAAGGTCGGCCTGGCCTTCGGGCTTTTGAGCGGGGGCCCCGGGCTCGTGACGGTGCTGTCCACAGCCGCAGCGGGGTCACCTCTCCCCGCCTGCAGGGCCTGCTCCGTGCGCTTCAAAGGCGCGTCGGGGCAGAGCGTCTTCGCCTCGTGTGTCTGCGAAACGGGGTTCTTACCAGACGGATTCAGAGTGGTCAAGTTCAGCGCCTCCTAGAGCCCCCCACTCTGTCCGTCCAGCACGTCTAAAACAGCGCTGTTGTTGTTGTTGCAGGCGATGGTTGCTTGTTACCCAGGCAACGGAACGGGGTATGTGCGTCACGTTGACAACCCGAACGGGGACGGAAGGTGTGTGACGTGCATTTACTACCTGAACGAAGGCTGGGACGCCAAGGTACGCCGCTTCCCCGGGCGCTCGCTTTCCCTCGCGGGGCGCGGGATCCACGCTCCCCGTAGCTGAGGCTGTTTCACGGACGCGCAGTTCAAACCCCTCGTACTTGCATCAGTCACGGGGATTTCTTTGTAAAGTGCCACATGCTAATATAGCTCAGAAGTAGATTCCCCGATTTTCAGACATTGAGGCGTTCGTCCGAAATTTAACTTTTCCAAAAGGATCTCTTGTTAAAACACATTCCACAGTCTGTAAAACATACTTCTGCGAATGCTTGCTTTATAACGGCTTTTGCGGGAGATCACGTATAAGTAATCGTGGTGGGTTATTTGCTCCTTACGCCTGCATTTCATCCCTTGCATTGCTGTAGAGACGTTAGCTGGCGTTGTCTGCTGGCTTGAATCCCAGAGGCAGGATCTCTTCTTTCCCTGATTATGGAAAAAAATATCAACACTGACAAACCCTATAAACCGATTAGAACATACAATACGTTTAATCTCTCGTTATAAACGTATTCCGCTCTTATTAGCCTGAGTTTCACTTACGTTTAAATTATTTAAATTTTAGAAGTATGTCATGTATGATATTGTATTAGCAGTGGTATAAACTAAATTTTTGGTCGATTTTTTAAAAATCGTTTTACTTTTTTTTTTGAAGCAAAGTGTTCAGATAGTAAAAAGTGAACCCAGTGGATTTCCACAGAGTGAACACACCTGTGTAGGAAGGGTAGTTTTTAAAAATTAACCTTTCAAACGCGTTCTGCTCGCACACGCATATACACACAAACGGAAACCAAGGCTTAACTGTGCAAAATCTAGTTCTGTCCCAAAAGCACCCCCTAAAATTCAGGACAGGCTCACAGTGCTCCAGGCCTTTCTCCACCGTCCTGACTTAAGGGGTTCCTCTGTCCTAGTCCACGTGCAAGACGGAGGTAAGTCTTACTGCTCAGTGGAGTTTGAAGCATCACGTCAACAAGCATGGTTTTTTATAACTGTCAGACTTTGAAATAGAAGAGAAAAAATGGTAATTTACCTAAAGCCCAATACACAAAGTAGATTGGTGTAACTTTGGTTAAAATGTGAAGAAAAAAATTTCTTTTCCGATTTATAAATATCTAGAAAGCTAGAAATAGAGCGATCAAGTCCTAATTTCTGTATTTTGTTAGTTTCTTTCTAGGCTGATCTTTTAATTTTGGCAGGACCTAGCCAAAGTCATTAATATATAGTTTTTAAATGAGTGCACACGCAGAACGAAGTCCTTAGTGTCTTTACGTGTAGAACTGCAAACTTCCTTCACAAGGACTCACTGACTGTGCCTCGTGTGCCAGCCACCGTCCTGGGTGCTGGCGACACAGCAGAAACGGGGTGCCCCTCGCAGAGCCGGATCTAGTGGAGGGCGCAGGTCAGTAGACCGAGGTGACGGTCGGTTGTGCCGAGTGCGGGACAGATGGCACTAGGAGCCCCTAGTTTAGGGGTCGGGGAGGTTTCCCCAGAGAAGATGGGGAGCGTCAAATGTCTCTTCTGAAACACATTCAGTGGATCACCAGTGACATTCCCAGTGGCTGCAGTCAGAGGGAAGAGGTCGGGGGGAAGAAAAGCCGTGTCGCTGGTCACAGTGCAGAGGCTCTTCCGGTGGAGCAGGAGTGCCGTGGGGATCTCTCCGGACGGCACGGGGACCTGCGGAGGGCGAGCGAGGGTGCCAGTAGCCTGAGTCTGACTGACGTACGGACGAGCCTCGTCGGCCACCTCTCTAACTGTAGATCCTGGGAAAAGACTCAGCCTCGTGACGTCTCGGTTCCGGGTCAGAGGCCTTCTCCTTAGGAGTTTCGTTTCTCAGGGGTCAAGTGCTGCTCAGACGGGGGGCGTTTTGCCTCACGTTAATCCTCCAGATCACAGATACCACAAGGACAACACCTGTGCGTCGTTCCCTGCTCTGCACCCAAGGGCCTCCACGGGGCCAGAATGGTGACAGTCAGGATTGGCCCGAGCTGCTGGGTCCATCTAATCCCACACGAAGGAGGATGGACATTGGGGTAAACAGTAATGATCCTTTATGGATGGAATCCAGTTTCACAAGCAGGCGGTCGTCAATGTGTGAGGCCCAGTCAGGAAAGGGAGACTTTAGTAAATAATGACCACAGTGGTGGTGATGCCAATGACGACGGTGACGGTGACGTGATGATGATGATCGTGATGGTCGTGATGGTGATGATGGTGCTGATGATAGTGATGATGGTGACGGTGACGATTGGTGGTGGCAGTGATAGTGACGGTGACAGTCGTGATGTTGAAGATGATGGTGACGGTGATGGTGACGATTGGTGGTGGCGGTGAAGATAGTGACAGTGGCAGTCGTGATGGTGAAGATGATGGTGACGGTGACGATGGTGATGGTGACGATTGGTGGCAGCAATGATAGTGACGGTGACAGTCGTGATGGTGATGATGGTGACGGTGACGATTGGTGGTGGCGGCGATGATAGTGACGGTGACAGTCATGATGGTGAAGATGATGGTGACGGTGATGATGGTGACGATGATGGTGACGATTGGTGGTGCGGTGAAGATAGTGACAGTGACGACAATCATGGTGTTGGTGGTGATGAGGATGGTCAGGGTCATGATGATGGTAAATGATATTTTCTACTAATACGTTGGATTCTTTAAATAAGAGACATTGAATTTGGGACTGTCCTATCACCTGTTGAAAATGCCATAAGCTGCCGGACATCCCTAGCCGTTGGTATAGACCTACCCCAAACATTGCGGGTTTGGATCCAGCCCACCGCAATAAAGCAACTGTAGCAATAAAGCGAGTCATAGTTCTTTGGCTGGTGGACAGTTTGCCTTCGGTTTGTGAAAAAACGCATCTGCGAAGCACAAGGAAACGAAGTGTCCCTGCGGTTGAGGCAGGCGACTTAGGGACGCACGTGAAGGGCAGGATAAGCAGGTCGTTAGCACACGCAAATGAGGAACATAGTTTCTAAAACTTCCTAAAACTTTCAGGTGTCATTTCAAGACTTTCGAATTCAGATACCGTTCATGTTTCATCAAATGCTTGAAAAAATCAGTGTCAGTGCGTAAACTTGGAATCTCAACTCGCCCTCGGACCTCGTTAATTGAGATGCATTTGTGCCTCATCCAGTCAAGAATTTCGATTCCCTGAAATGGTGTCCCCCCCGCCCAGATTTAATTTTGTACCATTCTTGGTGATACTTACATCTTTGGCTCTTTTCCTAGGTAAGTGGAGGTATACTTCGAATTTTTCCAGAAGGCAAAGCCCAGTTTGCTGACATTGAACCCAAATTTGATAGACTGCTGTTTTTCTGGTCTGACCGCCGCAACCCTCACGAAGTGCAGCCAGCATACGCTACCAGGTAGTGCTCCTCCTCGGACAGCGGTGGGACAGAGGGGACGGACAGGGTGGACGTGGCTTCCGACGAGCACCCTCTTGCCCTTCCGTGCCCCGCCCCGTCCCGCGTCGGCCCGGGCCTGGGGCTTTCCAGCCCCGCCCCCTCATCTCCCGCGTCTCTTAACCTCTCTCCCTTCTGCGACTTTGTGAGACTGCGGTTGCCCCTCGACCGGTGCGGGGGTCGGGGCCCCGGCCCTCCACGCAGAACCTTCGAGTCCCCACAAAACGTAACCACTAACAGGCGGCTGTTGACCAGAAGCCTCACCGACGACAGAAGCCGTTGGTGAACACCTGCTCCGTGTGTCACGTGTGTCACGTGTGTCACGTGTGTCACGTGCTGTTCTGACAGTCGAGTAAGCTAGAGGCAAAGCGTTGAAATGCACTGACGGCGTTTGATGAAAACGCCGCGTGGAAGTGGCGCCGGGCGGTTCAGGCCTGCGCTGCTCAGGGGGCAGCCGCGCTCGCGTGCCCTGGAGCAGTCGAGATAGCGGAGCGGGGGGCAGCTTTCTAAGAGGCTTCGGCGAAGGCGGGGACGAGGTGGAGAAGGGTACAGAGCAGAGGGACGAGAGGTGACCGGAGAGTGGGGATGAGGACGAGTGGAGGAAGAGGCGAGAGCCGCCGCGTGTGGGAGCGAGTGTCAGAGAAGTGGCCTTTTGACCTTTCGGCTTTAACAGCAGGTGTCACCTTTGCTGCATCACACTGTTTCTCCTACGAAGTTTAGGGTCCAAAACTTGCTATGTTTAATGTCGTCTTTAAGTTCTTTTTATGATTTACCACGGCTCAGTTAAAACGTTAAGACCCTTAAGATGGAAGGTGTCAACAGGCGTTATTATAAAAATAAATAATTGTAGAAAAATAATACCTACTTTTCACTGCAGAAAGGACTTTGAACTTCGTGACAGCGAATTACTAGCGTGCGTTCGCTTAGGCCTGCTGGGGGGAGGAAGGGCACCCCCGATGTGCAGGGGGCGGCGGCTTTGAACAGCGACGTCGAGAGACAGGCCGGCCTTGGCCGAAGCTCGCGTTCTGAGGACGTGGCCGTGGCCGTGGCCGCTTCCTTCTGAGCCTCGTTGCTCTCGGCCCTGATGCCCGGAGAACGGGTTGAGCCGTTCGCGGGCAGAGACGAGGCGGCGAGGCTGGGACCCGGGGTTGTGGCGCGCACACGGTGCGCCACCCCGGCGCCCCGCCCGCGACGCCGCTTCTGGGACCTTCCGTTCTAGGGAGCCCCGAGTGTGGTCTGATGTACCCTTTCCAGGCGAAGGGGCAGCAGTCGTTTTTCGGGGTTTTCGGTCGTGAATGAATGCGCAGGGCGTAGGGAGTGTGAGCCAGGCAGGGGTCGGAGGACGGTGTGTGCCCTGGAGTGGCAGGTGGGTCACAGTGGAGGGAGCCGGACAAGCGAGGCTGCAGTGCCGCCCTGGGAGAAGGAGCGGCAGCGGGGCAGGGGACCGGAGAACGCCCCTTGGGTCCGTGGGGGACAGCGGGAAACAGAGCGACATGGCACTGTGCAGCTGGCTTCTGGTCGTGACTCAGGCCTCCAGAGGGAGAACCCCGATCACCAGGGAACTGAAAGTTTGGGGCGAAGGAAGTATAAAGTTGTACATCTGTGCACCTCGCCTGTCACCAAGGCCACTGTGGCAATAAAGGAGCCCGGACAGTAAGAAAGGGGCGGGGCCCGCAGAGAGCAGCCGGGGGTCGGGGTGGGGCCGGGTGATCCGTGGTCCCGGTGTCCCCGGCGCCCAGACTCCACGTCCAGTGTTTACATGGCTGAGCCTCGTCACGGTCACTGGCTCATCATGTGGTCGGCGTCGCTGTCCCCAGCGAACGCTGGCCAGGGCCTGCAGGGCGCTCGGACGGCCTGGTCCGCCGCGGAGCTGATCCCGCGCGTTCTGCTTCCTCTTCCTCTGCCGCCTGCGCGTCTCCCTCGTGGTCGGTCCCCAAAAGCGCAGCCGTGCGCTTCGGAGCATCTAACAACCTGGACCGTCCTCGTTTGTTTGCGGAATGAGATGTTCCAAATAAGTTTTTAGAAAAACGTTTCGCTACACTTGATGTCAAAGCCTAGTATAGTCGCTTTGATAAAAATCCTAAAAAATTCTCAGCATCGCGTACATCTTTCTCGGTGACTCAAGTCGTGAGGTCGTGAACACCCATCGCGATTTTCGGCCGCGGTGCGGCGCTGTCCTCAGAAGCTGTGACTGTCGCCCTCCCTGACGGGCCCCGGGCCTCGACCCCGTCCTGGGCCCTCCGCTTCCCGTGGAGGCTGCGCCGCGGCCGGCGTGCCCTTCCCCGACGGCCGGCCCTTCGCCTTCTTACTGTCTGTCCCTGGTGCGCTGTGGCCTTGCAAAGCACGTGACGCAGCAGGTCGCGTGAGCGCTGAGAAGGTCAGGTGCAGCCGCGCCCGGCCCTGCGCCCGGCCCGCTCGCCCTCTGACGACGGTGCGGTCGGGACGGTATTTTGACGGGCCGCGGGTCGCAGACCGCTGCCGCCGGATACCGCTTTGTCCGCAGCGTGACCGTTCTCACCCTCTTCTGAATTTTCTTTTAGGTACGCAATAACTGTTTGGTATTTTGATGCAGATGAGAGAGCGCGAGCTAAAGTGAAATATCTCACAGGTAAACGCCACTGGGCCGGGGTCGCGGGGGCCGCGGAGGCTGCGCCTCGTTTCTGTCCCGCCCCTAGTTCCCGCGTTTGAGAGGCCGCCGTTCAGTCATCCTCGTGCTCGGCTGTACCCAGCCAAGTGCCCAAAGTTGGGGAGCGGTTGAGGAGAACCTGAGAGGTTCTCACACGGCAGCCGAGGTTTCATCTGTGACCACCCTTTCCCGTCACAGGCGGCCGCGCCCTTGGGGACCGCCACCTTCTTCCTCTCGTCCCCTGAGAAGGAAGTTAGTACCATTTCCTTTGAAGCCTGCGTGCTACGAAGGACACTCCGACTGCCGTCCCCCACTTTGATCGTGGACGCGGAGAAAACCGATACAGAGGAGACGAAACGTCCAGATCAGTGACTCAGACAAGCGTGTGGAGCCGGCATCGGCCGCTGGCGCCACTAGGTCACACCCTGTCCCGAACCTGCGGGCGCTCAGGGTGCCGGCCCCACGCCCCCCGGGCTGTCTCGGGGCTCAGCTTCCCGCCCCTGTCGCCGACACCCGCACGTTCACGTTGCGCATCAGCCGGCCGCACGTGACGAGCCGCCGACTCCCACGCCAGCAAATTGGACGTTCGTGTTTTCTCTGTGTATTTTTAAAGTCGTTACTGGTGGCAGAAGCCTAGTCGTGGGCTTTTACCAAACACACTACCGTTTCACGGCAGTTTAAGTCGCTTTTAAAGTAGAGAGACAAACCGCTGTCTCTGTGGAGCCTGGTTTTGCCCCCGAAGGTTCCCCAGTCGAGAGCAGCGTGTCACCCCGGGCAGAGCCGAGGCCAGCGTCCGGAATGCCGGCGTGACCGCGGCCGGGCGACGTGTGTTCGCAAGGCCGGAGCCTCGTGCACGCCGTCGGGGCCTCGGCGGGAAGCGGTGGCAAGTTCTCCGGCGCCAAATGAGTGAATGAACGTTGTTTTTTGTCTCTGCTTCACCTTGCAGGCGAAAAGGGCGTGAGGGTCGAACTGAATAAACCTTCGGATGCGATCGGCAAAGACGTCTGATAAAGAGACCTTGACCCAGCGATGCCCCACTTCGCCTACGGCGATCGCCGACACTGTCCTTAACTCGTGGCTGCAAATAAACGGGACAGCCCGTTGGCATTCGAATAAGGAAAAAGAAACAAGTTTTTTGTGTTGCATCAGGAAGGAGATTGTGACTGTGTGGCTTTCACTGCATGACCGACTCCAAACCCGCGGTCGCTCATGGGAAGCATATAAGCTATCAACTGAAAGTGGTATCTACATCTGGACATTGGAAAAAAGTGCCCTGGGTAGAATTTTTTCATTCTTATATTTTGTCAGATCTGTCATCTAGCTGAGTTCATTTCATCTCTCCCTTTTTTATATAGTCAAGTTCGAATTTGAAGTAATTTTTGTATGATCAGGTACAATTTATCAAAACTGAATTGAGAAAAAATTACTCAAGTATTATTCCCCAAAATAGCATCAATCTATTTTTGTAAACCTCTTCGTACTATTAAATTTCACCCTAAAAGACCTTTTGTAATGATCGTTGCCAGTGACCGATGCCTGCTTTAATTTTCTTTTTATTTAAAACGAGGGCACTTTACCTGCCAGCAGGAAGACCAGACCGCCGCGGTCCTGCGTCACGCCGATTCGAGCTCTGGAAGATCGCTGCTGTCGCCGTCTTGACATCGTTAATGATGAAGCATAACAGTAAAATCACCACCGTTCTCCTACCAGTAACTTTCAGTTCATGTTTCATGAGCAAAAACAGGAAGACGGTTTCGGCCGAAGTTTCTCAAAGAGCCACAGTGACTGGCGCTGGGTGGACTTGCGGGTCGTCGGCACGGGGTCCCGGGGCGCAGGGCCCTCGGCCGCCACGCGCGCCCGGTCCTCACGCTCACCCCTTCGCGTCCCGTCCGGCTGCTGGCACTTCAGGTTTCGCGCTTAGGTTTTCCCGCCCCGGACCCGTCCGGTCCCAGGGACGGCATTGGGGAGCGGTGCAGGACTCGCCCCGGCACCGGGAGACGTGCGTTCAGCTTAAACAAAACAAAACAAAACAAAAACGAAAGAAGCAAAAAATAAGATAATTTTATTTTTACGTGTTAGGAGTTTTCTTTCTTACTTTCCAGAAAAGGAGGGACTGTTGCAGACTCACGCGGCCTCCCAGACTCCGTTCCGGGCGTCGTGGACTGCGGGTCCCCGGGGCGCGCGCGGCCGTGTGAGGCCTCGCCCGCCGCAGCTTCCCGTCTCCGCCCTTGATCTTTGCCAAAACGACGTGAGCGCACAGAGGCGTTTCTGTGTGTCTCACCTCGGGACCGTTTTCGCACTTGCAGAGTTCGTGTTCAGTTAGAGACCTTTTCCATGGACAGCTCAGTGATTGTTATCAAAAGATGGCCACGTTCGTGTAAAACACGGACCCCAGCCAGTGGCCCGGACGGCGGGGACGCGCGGGCCGGGATCGGACGCGCAGCGCCGCGCTCTCGCGTAGGAGAACCGGGGACACCACCGTCCTTTACTCGCGCTTTTCCTGGGCGTTCAGCCTCGTCCCGGATGATACGACGCGACGTCTCTGCAGCCTGTGTCGCCACCAGCCCGGCCTGGGAGCACGAGCCGCCGCGCCGTCCGGTCCGCCGTGCGGCGCGGCCGCTTTAGACGCCGGCGGAAACTGTTGCGTGGCTGGGAGGCTGGCCTCGCCGCGGGGTGCAGAAGCCGCCGTTTAACCCGGGAGCCCGTGTCCGTCACCCGAGCAGTGCCGCTCCCCCGTCTGGGGCTGTCCTGGCGAACAGGTCCTGCGTTTTGTGTTTTTTGGGAAAGTCTGTATAACGTCTTGGAGATCATTGTGAAAAGGGTGGCGAAATCAGATCGCCCCCTCTTCCGCGTCTGCTTACAATCTGTTCACTTCACGTTGGTGCCACCGGTACCTTGTCAGCAAGCAGAACTCTGTTCAACACAAAATTTGAAATTATTTGTGGCCTAAATGCGTTTAATCCTGGTTAAAGATAAAGCTTCTAATGCTGTCTTTATTCAACACATTAACCAGCTGTACAGTACAGACCTTTATCAACAGCAGGCAACGCGTTTCGGGGTGCGCGTCCGGACAGGCTGGAAGGTCGTGTCATGTTCTGTCATGAGCGCTCCAGCTGCTTGTAAAGCTAATCTCATTAAAACGATGCATAAACGTCCTTGGAAAGCGATGGTGGTTATTTCCAGCTGCCTTTGTTCATCCGCGACCACGTGCCGACTCCCCACGGGCCCTTCCGTCAGACACCGAGCCCCCCCCCACGCGTGTCCGGCTCGCCCCAGGACGTTCGGCTCGCGTTTATAAACGGCTCCAAGGGCGAGAGCAGGGAACGTTGGGCCTGGCGGCGCCGCCCCAGGATGTTCGGCTCGGATTTATAAACGGCTCCAAGGGCGAGAGCAGGGAATGTCGGGCCTGGCGGCACGCGGGGCACCCCAGGGCGACACCGCGGGCTCAGGGGTCCTGCACTTGGCTTCTGTCCCTTTTCACAGGGTTTTAAACGTCGCTCAAACACGCTTGCTCGTGAGTGTGTCGATGTCACCCTTCTGCAGAAAGGGGCGTTCGGTGCTCGCCCACAGTGCCGCGGCCGTCCTGTCCTGTGTGCGAGAGAGGTCGGTCGGTGATACAGTGTGGGAGCGACGCACGTGTTCATGTACCTCTTACTTCGACATGTTTTAATGTCCACAGCAGCCGGTCTTCCCAGGCGGTCTCCCATCCGAGGACGAGCCCGGCCCGACCCTGCTTAGCTTCCGAGATCAGACGCGATCAGGTGCGTTCAGTTAACTCTCTCTCTGTGGCATCTTCGTTATTTCCCAGCCTGTCTGGGGACGTTTGGAAAATCGCACCGCGATCTAGCCAGGTGGATTGACGGAGAGGGCAGGTGAGTCAGAGACAGAGAGTGACTAAGTTGGGTACCGTAGGGCAAAGCACGACGGACTCGACACATCTGTTTAGTTCTGGCTCAGCCGCCTAATCGTGCGACCTTCGGAGCGTTTCTCGTCTGAAAACGAGCGCAGTGGCCCCAGACAGAGTCGCATGAGGCCTAATGAAGTCCAGCTGTCCCGGGGCTGCACACGGCCCCGGAACGAGAGCCACGTTTTGGCCGTGACCGCGGCGATGACACGTCTGTACCCCATACGTAATGACGTGGTGGCACATTGGGTTGTTTCCAGTTGTTCGTAAACGCCCGTCTCCGGACATCCGAGCTCAGGGGGGAGTTCCCCAGACCCTGCTTTTCAGAATCACCGGCAAGTGAGCATCACCGGAAACGTGGCGGTGCTCAAGGCCGCGTAGCAGGGACCGATGGCACGTGGAAGGGGCACGGCCTCGGCCGCGAAGACCGTAAGTAGCAGACACACTTAACCATAGAATAAAAGCCACTGCACAAGAAAGGCGGAGCGCGAAAGCTCGAGGTGCCACAGGCCTGTCCCACGGGGGATGTTTTAACTCCGAACAAAGGCCCGCGAGGGTGGCGGACAACGTCTCCTCTCATCGAGAAGTCAGGCGGCGGGAGCAGAACTCAGGCTTCCCTTTTCTGAGTTTTTGCGAGGCCGGGTTAGACGTGCACGTGCAGCGAAGCCGTCTCGTTCGACGAGGGCGTTGGGAAAACTGCCCGTCGCGTTCTTCGGATTTTAAGACGGATTTTAACTTCGCAGTTCTTTCCCCAGTCAGTTCAAAGGAGCAGCCGCGCGGCTCTGCCTCGATGCTTCGGTGTCGGGCACCACTCGGAGTTGCCCGCGTGGGAGACGAGGAGAGCACAGGGGTCCCCGCTGTCCCCCATCCGTCCCAGACACGGCGCAGCGCGCATCCGCGGCCGCAGCTCAGGCCAGGCCGGCGTGGATCGCGGCTGCCGTGTTCTTTAGTTCCCACTTGTTCTCAATGCCTTTCATTCTATTTTTCAGTCGAATCTATTCTTCCTTGGACACCTTATAGTTTAATCTTCATTTGCGATCGTTTCGTCATTTTCAATTCCTTTACTAAGTTACAGCAACTCGTTTCACAGCTGAGTTTTTTTTTCCTCCCCTTTTGGTCCATTTTTGTTGTTGTTCTGAGACGGAATTTCTATTTTAGGCGTTAAGCCTTAGATTTGCAGTCCTGTTTAAAGACATTTCATTCGGCCTGGATATCATTCCAGTTCTCTTCTGCCTCATCGCTGGAGAATTTTCGGGAGCTGTAACTGACTCTTTGCGTCTTCCGA